CCAAACCCCCAGGAAACTTTGGCCCCTATTAGTCAGGGGCCCTTGAAATGGTCCAAACCCAGCCCCGATACAGAGCCACTGTGTACAACAACCTACCAATGGGTACAACTGAAAACAAACTACTACCGAGTAAAACTAACATAAATACAAGTAATACACGAGTTGATTCAAATGACAATGAAATATAAAACCCATTTTTGGTGTTGAATAACTAACTGATCTCCTTTTAGTATAAATCATGGTCATGGAGATAAAAGAAAAAAAAGAAGCTGTTCACTTTGGAGAGAATATGTTGAAAGTATAGGCCTGTATGATGTGCAAATTCAGTTTGCCTAGCACTATAACCTATCCTATAGTGTCAGCACATGTCACAATAATAACACAACTGCTCACACACTCAAGGCAATACTTATATGCTTACCAGCATCAATCAGACCACAATGTCCTTTTATAATAAGCATGGAAGAGTCTATCTCGATGAAGTGTATGGAATCAACAGAGAAGCAAATGTGAATTCAGATAAGAAAGATACAAAATGTGTGAATGGCTGTAAACACGTGTGAAAAGCAAAGCTGTATTGACACATGGCCAAAAAAGTGTCACTATAAACACAGACTTTTAACCATGACTTCACAGTAGCTTTAATTAGACTTTGTGGACTGGAGCGAGCCATCTGTGTCAGGCAACAGATTAAAGCTAAACTAACTTTATAGGCAGTCATAGCAGATGCTGAGGAAATCCAGCTTGAGGAAATCAATCTCAGAGCATTCCACCAGTAAAACCTGGGAGAAACAAATGGGGTGTGGAGCAGTAAGCTTTGGTCTGGGGTTGTTAGTGTTCAAACCACAGTAAAGACTTAAAGTAATTAAAAATCAAAGGCAGAAGTGGTAGTAGTAAGAGGAAAAAAAACAAGGAAAGGAAAGTGTGGGCTGATTTGTCTCCCTTCAAAAAATAAAAGACCAGAAGTAGAGCACATGTAACTAAAGTAAAAGGACAATTATAATTACATTTCACACTATACAGAGTACAAACTAAAGTTTAAAGTATGCAAGTGTACTCAGGGGAAACCTACAGTAAAGCATGTTAATATGAACAAAAATGGGAATATATCTTAAGAACATTTTTACTATTTTTCTACAGTAATATCTATCTTCAAGAACATTTTTACTATTTTTCTACAGTAAATGTAGCATGTTAATATGAACAAAAATGGGAATATATGTTTTGAAAAATTGTAGTTCAAGAACTTTAGCTCTAAGGCACTTAAGAACATTTTTACTATTTTTCTACAGTAATATCAAACTACAGTAGTTTTAAACTATATACTTTTGCTGTATGTTTTGTTGTTAATTTGTATTTCATATTTTTCATATCTATCTTCTGTTTAATATTTCATCATCTCATAAGTAGCTATTTTAAATGTGTCAAGTTCTTAGTTTCCACTTCTTATCTGACAGATGAATATATGTTGAAATTCAGTTGACACAATAGCTTATGCAAAAACATGAACATCAAACACTGAAATGATCAGTTAAAAATAGTAAATGTTAAATTGTTATTTCGTTTTTTAAGGAAAAAAAGGTAACTAAAGCCCCAACATTGGAACACGTTTTGTTTGGTTTGACCAAAATCAATGTTTTTTTATAAGGGGGGGGCGGGTGTGAAACTAAAACTATCACGCTTGTCATTAGTCGTGCTGAACCCAAATAATATATTTTACATGTTATGTTGAAAAATGAATTCCCTAATTCCTTCATAGAACATGAGCAGACAAGTTCCTCCAATAGATGAATGTTATGAACAAACAGACAAGTTCGAAAATGGAAGTGAAACAATCAGGTGAATAATTGATGTTGTTGAAGGTTGGTGCATTAGACGTGGATTGTGGTTAGATTAGTTCGTACGGTCGGGTCAAGGTTGAGATTTTGAAAAGCAATGGGGAGATTTGGGGGTTAACGACCGGTCGACAATCGACTGTTAAATAAGACTATGGAGTGCATTTAAGCAACAGCAAAATTAATTGCTACTTCTTGGTATAATTTACTTTAGGAGTGGGTTCTTGTCGTTGTGCAAATTGATGTAAAGAGAAGCGGAGCCTCTACAAATACTTTTAATTCGCTTTGTGTGCGTGTGCGCGTGTGTGTAGCCTCAGCTCAGCAGTAGTCCCCTCGCTTCTTCACCGAAAGTTTAAAACGAAACTTTTCCAAGCCTTTAGAAGCCCAAAATAGAGAACGTCCTACCTTGTTGTGGCCATTTTCTTCACATTTTAAACAAAGCGAAAATGAAAAAGAAAAAGAAGAGTTGAGTTTCTTCAAGTTAGAAAAAAAGCCCTCGTTGTACACTGGTCACAGTTGTAGTAACACAGACGCTTCTCAGTCGTCGTCGCCGCCGCACTCAAACTACGCCCGTTGGACTCTTTAACCCCGCCCACCATTTTAGACCACGTTCTTAGTGGCCAGACTCCGCCCTCTACACGTGACGCGTAGGTCGGTAAAATGAGTGTAGTCTCGTTCCAACCTCCACCTGACATAGACATCATAAATAGATAGACGCCGCATCGACCGCTCCTGTCTATAGGTGCGAACGAGCCGCGGTGCCGCCATCTTGGCCCGGCGACCGCTCTAATTGTTTGTCAGTCGCAATTAAGTATCAGCGCATTTAATAAATATAACTTTTCACGTTTTGTTTTGCTGCAAACCTCATAAATGAAGCTACAATATTGGACATATTATTATTGTCAGAATTGCCTTTGAATTATATAGAGTTTATAGTTTGGTCTAATTAACTCTGAATATTCAATTAAGAATTTATAGTTTTTTGAACAGCCTAGAAATATTGCTTAAAATACTTCAAAATTATATTAATGCTAATTATAAGAATACAGTCAAATGCAAATATTTTCTTGCAAATTATTATATTAATATTATTTAGCTTAATAACATCTTCCTCAAAATCCTTTTAAATCAACATTTAAATTCTACCTTTTTTATTTTTCTACCACGTCACACTTTAATACAAAAATATCTATATTTCCCCTTGGATTCTGAAATTTCAGAGTTTAATTTATTTTCTGAATAAATCTGTAATTATATTTCAACTGAATCTCTAACGTTTAGACATCAATTATAGTTGTAACCTAAAGTCGTATTCCTTATTGGGCTGCTTAGTCCTGGTTCACCACATTGGATCATCTGTATCTGTCTTATTCCATTTACTGTTACACTAAACATGCATATGTTCACTGCACTAAGTGAGAGTCCCCCAGTAATCTTGCCATGTAGAGGCATTACTCAGGGATAGCTTAGTTGAACCCGAACCAACCCCAAATGTTAACCCCATTAATCCGGGAGGTTTTAGGCTGACGTTTGGATTTAATGTCCGCCTCCCAAAGTCGGTGCTGGATGTACGGTAGAGCAGCCCCACAGAAAGAAATATTATTTTCTTATAGAACTGTCCATGGTGTCACCCTCCCTTGTCCAAGGGATGGTGGGATTTACTCCTCTCACGACCCTGCACAACATTAATCCTCAACGGGATTAAGAAGTACAGAATCAATGGATGTAAAGGTTTTAGCTGTAAATTTCTACATTCCATTAAATGACACAACAGCGACTCCTACAGGAGAAAAAATTAATATGAAACCGAACAGATTTAAAAAAAAAGATGTTTTTGATCAAATACTTTATTCACAACCACAATCATTTCTAAGGAGGTACCTGATTTAGAAAACAAAGAAGCTAAATCTATAAGCATTACACTGTTGTTGTTTTCCTCTGGCACAGAGTAAACTATAGATCCATTAAGTCCTCATGACACAATCCTTGAACTGTTTAAGTGCTTTCCAGATGGGAAGAAGCGAATTAAGCACAAAAGCATTTCTTAAGCTACACTTCATGTTTGTCATACAAAGAAATCAGTGTCATCGTAATTACAAAAAATATTGCAAACATTTATATTAATTGCACAACTTACATTCAAATATATACTGTTCTGTACAGCCGGAGTCTGTGTCTGTACTGTTATCATGTAGCACCATGTACAGCAAGCTGGACAGACTGTGTGGTCACATCATTATTACAGAAAAGAAAAAAGAAAAGAAAAATGACTATTAATCGTTGATGCATTTGTTGATGGTTGCAGGCCTCGATTCTTTCATTCAGACACACAGCTGTGATCTTGTCATGTCTTGCTGTAGGCTGAGAATATTACCGCTATATTCCAGTCTGGCTATCAGTTTTGTCAATGTTTAACAAGTAGAAATGTCTCTGTCAGTGATATCATCTTCTTTGTCTTTTGCCCATTAATAAAGAAATGAATAAATTACCAAACATTGATTATATGTCATGTCATCATCACATATATTTTATTGTTTTAGGAATTTTTGTACCACATTAATGATATAGAGACTAATGCTTGAACTGAATTGAAAAAGCAACAAGCTGTAGTTCACTGAATGAGGGGACTTAACAAAAATAGTACTGACAGCAGGGTTCAGTGCTGCAACCCACAAAGTGAATCCCACTTGTGTGTGTGTGTGTGTGTGTCACAATGCAGAATTAGAGAAACAGTGGTGTATGAGTTGCTTGAAAAACAGAATGCTTTATAAAGAAGATTAGTTAAGAATATTTAAACTACTGTAGAAAACCTCATGGTGACTGTTTGTTATATTCAACAGGCCCCACCATCTCCACATGCAAAGAAAAATCCTTCAGTTCCGTTGATGATCTCCATGACCATCGTCTGGACATCACGGCGTTGTAGCAGGAAAGTAAACTGTTTAAGGCCCATGCACAGAATAGGTTATCTACAAGCAGAGTTGTCAGACCAAGAGGCTCGAGGACAATATTTTGTCCCACCTGATTTCATAATGTCATGCCATTCATTCAGTCAGATTGGGGCTCACACAGACAACCACATTACACAAAAATTGAATAAAAAAACTCCATCGTGGTGGTAAACTCTACAGCAGTATTTCACTTTATATAAGCAACAACTCCTGGTTTGAAATGTTCAGACCCTGAATTTTATTTAGCTTTATGTACATGTTTGAAACACAAATTGTCAACCCACTAAATAATACAAAGCTCTGGTGTCCACACATGTTTGAATTGGTTTCCTCTAAATGGGATCATCATCATTCACTAATTGAACGTTTTTGGCTGTTTTTACAGGTTTGCAACTTTTTCTACATTTTGGATGTTAGAGGGAGTAAAGAGGAAAGTATAGCAGCAAAAGTAAAAGAGAAGTTACGAACAGAAGTGAGAACTAACGTGAGGTGTGGGTCACTGTCTGTAAAAGAGAATACTGAGCAAGTGGAAGATTCTGACTTTATATTTAGAGTCAATGACAAGTTAAAGCTGACTAGATCAGAGGAACAGCTACGATCGACCAATCTGTGAACTTAAAATAGTAAAGGTTGACATGGCTTGTACGTGCGCTAAGGCAAAGGCAAAGAGTTGAAAGAGGATGTATTGACTTTCAGGTGAAGAACAGGGTAAGATGGAGGAAGATGTGGAGGAAATGAGAAACAAAAAGATGACCTCAGAGTGGGAATTCGTCCCCTTTATCTTGTAGAAGATGTAATACTAGAACTGATTTCCCAGAACAGAGGGTTTGTACCTGCAGCCACACAACTGAAGAAAACCAGTCATATTACATATGATTTGAGTTGTTTTAGCACAGAGGTAAAACTTGATCTGATGTGTTCAATTAAAACTTTGCATGTGGACTGAGCTTCAGACTGAGTGCAAAGGTAAAACTCATGGTTGGATAGTTCCTTTGTGTTGTCTTGTATGCACAGAAGCAGCTGTCAGCTGTCTTCATAACATATTAAAGAGCTATTTCTCAGTTTCTGGTCCATCGAAGTAATAGTCAAGGTCCTCGAGTTTGGCCACATTCCCTTCCCTCCTCGTCATTCTTCTTCTTGCTATGCTAATGGAGGTTAATGCGCTCAGTGGTGGTGATGACCGTGGTTAACCAACCCACCCTTCCCAAATCCGACCCCTGTGCAGGAGAAACGAAAACAATCTAATTAAATGTGCTTCTTCAAACAATAATTAAAAAAACCTCAAATAATGTTCCTGCTAAAGAAACTGCTAAGAATCAGACAAGACATTGACAGGATTGAACTGAGGACATAATGACACAACTTCATGTCTGCATTGCTTTTTTTGGATATACGTACATAAATGGATGCATGAAAAAGACGGGAGTGCTGTGCAATGCAGGTAAACGTAAATATGACTCAGTACTCTGAGAAGAAATGGTACTAACAGGTATTTGACAAACTTGACAGAATCACTACATAAGAAGTGCGAATATATATACATATATATTTTTGTTAAAGGTTAACGTTATAGTTTTTGAATTATTACATTTTAATAGTTAAATAAATAAATCCTTCCATTTGTCTGCTGTAACATTTTATCAAATTTCCTCTGGGCGAAGCTGGATTGTAAATTATGAAAATTTTCTTCTGGGCGAAGGCGAAGCTGGATTGTAAATTATGAAAACCACAACATGCTCTAGTATCAAGGCCTTTACTGTAAATTCAACTATTTAGGACTAAAAGTACTGGCATATGGAGTACAGCAACCAGTCGTCATATCTTTCTAAAGACTCCCACTCCTACGGAATATAAACCTTTTGGTTTACCTCTGTTACTTTTATTTACTTTTTAGCTACGGTTTGCTGATACTTATATCCTGTTCCTGCTCCTGGTGGATGTTCTGTAGAGATTAGAGCTTGGCTCACTATGGAGCAACAGATGGGTCATGGCAAACTCACAGTGATTTGGAGGAAGGCTTCTTCACTTTTGGCCTCTTTCGACGATGAACTGGCCTGAGGCATGCACGAACACGCACAGGGCAAATGCATGTGCATGTGAACAAACACACAAGTATATACACAAAACGCACATACGGGCATGTGCGCATACACACACACACACACACACACACACACACACACATAGCAGAGACAAGCAGTTAGGCTTCATTACAAACAAAAAGGGAAACGCAGAAGCTAAACAGCAGCTTTGTTGTTGGTCTGTGCCACAGCATGCTGCAGAGTCACTGACTACTGTGGTGCATATTTCAACATCAAATCCACTCGTAGTTCTGGCAATAGTAATTGACTGCTATAGAATAATATATATGCAATATATAAATATATAAAAATACCTGTATTTACTGAAGTAATTCCGCTCTTTTCCTCCTAAAAAAAAAGAGTAACTCACATTAATCTGGGTGAAAACTTGTAAGGACAGTTGTTTCTTTCTGATATACTGTGTAGATATTTAATTTAAAAATAGTGTGTATTTTGATGTGATTTATTCATTTTTTAACTCGAGTATAAACATTAAATACAATTTTAGGCCCCGGGCCTTGAGTTTGACACGTGATATAAAATATGTTTCCAAATCACCTACAGAGAAAAACAAAAGCTCTGTATTTTCCCTCACCCTTCTCCACGGTGCACTGCTTGGAGCCCTTGCAGCCTCTCAGGTCCATGATCTGCTGATGCATCGAATTCAGAGCGTTGCGGTCGAGGGTGCTGACTGCATTTACTAGCTTCAAGAGAAATCAGGACATGGAAGCAATCAGGGAAAACTCTGGAAAACTCTTTACAAAGTGTGTGTCAGAGCCATGACAAGACTAACCTGGTAGGGGTCAGTGTTGAGGTCAAAATACTCCAGAAAACCCGTGGCAAACTCACAGAACAGGAAGTTGTGTGTGTCATTGATGGTCCTGAGGCACCAGTAGGTGTTGTTGTTGGCACTGGTGCAGGCACAGAATGGACCCACTGAGGGACAGAGGAAGAGGGGGAGGTGAAGGTGGACAAACAATGAATGTTACCCTTTTTTAAAAATTGTCTTTATCATATCTGCTGTGGATAATTTTATCGGATTTCAACTCAACACGCTCTTCTCAAACTAAAGAATGATTCCTTTGGTGTTCTCTTTATTCCACTTATGGTTTTTATTTGATCATGTTTATTTTATCAAGGCTGCCTTTTAGCAACAGAGTCATAACATAACATCTTAAAGATTCACTGACCTGGAAAAGTATTTCATGTTCTGCTAATGCAACGCATTTACAATCGTAGGTAATTTTCTCACTTGTCCAGTAGGGGGCGGTCTGCCAGTGGTGGTTGTCATGAGTGAAACACGTGAGGCCAGGTTTGCTGCAGGTGTCGTTGTTCTGCAGTCGTTTTATGAATTTCCTCAGCTTCTTCCTTCTCTTCTGCTCCTTCTGCAGCCACTGAGTCTTCTGCTTCGGCGGCATTCTGATGACGCAGCCGTGAATTAGAAACATTCAGATCAATACTTGAATTATATTATTTGCTGAAACATTTACCTCAGTGAATTCATGTGTCCATGTGAGTTTAGCTTCAATGCCTGTGTCTGCTTCAGGAAATAACTGTGAAGACAAACAACAGTCAAATGTTACAGATTCACTGACGCAGGTTCAATCAACAGATACAAAGTCTTCAAATGATACTATGTATGTTGTATCTTCATTATATATAAGTAGCTGATACAGTATTGTTGGCCCAGACTGGTCCCAGATCATTGGTTGAGCCCAAACACATTATTGACCTTTTATTTATTTATTATTATTAAGAGCAAAAGAAGTTCAAAGTTCGAAGCAGTTAAGTAGAACGCAGCTGGACGATCTTTGTCGCTTCTACCTGACGGTTGAAAACCAGAAAAGACAGTTGTCATAGTACAACAAAGACGGAGGTGTCCAAGCCCTGATCCAATGACAGGATGTTGTGATCACCAGGGTCAAGGTGTCAAGGGGGGGGGGGTCACATGGGAGGTTGGTGTCACCTGAGGGACACAGCTGGTTGTTTGCTGTACGGGGGTGGAGACCACGTTGTCTCATCTGACAACACTGTGTCCATTTTCAGGATTTCACACTCAACCCTCATACAAGACAAACACAAAGGACTCACGGTCAGCTGTGTCCATCAGGTGACCCCCACCTCCCGTGTGACTTTACACGAGCCTGTTTAACACCTAAACTCAGGTGATTCCAACATCCTGGCTCGGGGTCAGAGGGTGGTCGCCTCCTTTGTTTTACTATAACAACACTCTTGGCTCGGGGTCAGAGGGTGGTCGTCTCCTTTGTTTTACTATAACAACACTCTCTCTGGTGTCGTTGCTTCTTGGATGAGACGTCAAAGACCTTCAAGAAACAAAAAAGTCCTCAGTCAGTTCTTTAAGTGCCCTCCATTGGTTTTTGTCCAGCCTTCAGCAAAAGCAGAACCTCTGCATCCAAGTTCTGCAGGACAGGCATGTGTCTTCCATCTTCTTTGCTGGCTCTGACTCACAGCTCTGAGTCAACAAACCACTCCTCCTCCAATCTGGCAACTCTGGATACCAACCAGCTCTTTCCTTTCTTTCTGTGTGGCCTTTGACCCCTCACACCTCACCCCCAGCCATGTCTTGTCTTGCTGCAACCACCAAACTCCATCCTGGTGTTGTAGCTCACTGGCCCCCTAACATATCATGTATATATAGTGTGTACAGTTTATATGAATAGACATGTATTAAATTACGACATAGAGATGCAGAAGAAATGACTATGAAAACATGCTCTTGCCTGAGAGCTGTGTCCGACCGCCTGGTTAGAAAGAATGTACAAGTCACAAAGATTTGAACGACATCCACACACTGCGGCTGACAGAAGTCTCACCTAGGAGTGTTACACTGACACTCTTCTGGCCGCACCTTTTTTAGATGACCTTTCACCTCACGTAGGTTCTTGATTTTGGACTGCAGCGTTTCAATCTGAGTACAAACAGATCTTTTACTGGTTACGTGTCAGCACAGTATCATCACGTTCACGGTGAGTGCACAGACCTCGTGTTCGATGTGCAGTTTGTGGTCTTTCCAGGCTTGAAGAGATTTGTAGATTCCTCCGTCACACTGCACCGTGTCGTTCATCAGAATGGAGCACCTACAGGAGCAAAACCACCAGAAGAGTCAAAGACTGATACATATATTGTTGTCTCTCCTTGTTATTGGACACCAGTGTTGGCAACATCCACGTACACACCTGTAGGTGACTTTCAGAGCAGCAGGTGGCGTCAGTCTGTTGTCGCTGCCTGGTTTGGCTCTGACTCCCATTCCACTGAACTCCTGGTTGTCCTCCTCCACGCTCACTCTGGTCTTCTTGTTTTTGGCCCAGCTGCGGCTCTTTGACTGCAGTGCTCTGTGTTCTTCACCCAGGTCCACAGCGTACAGGTCATCGCCAAACTCAAAGGACAAGGAGCGAGCCCAGCGCTTTCTAGAAACAACTTTACTGGATTTTATCTCTGAATAAGACAAAACACAGGGATTTGAAAAAATAAGTACTTCTTAAAAAGTTGTCTTTTTATTTCATAACTACGACTCAGTGATAAAGGAGATACGTGGATGTGGATTTGTCTTAAAGTCACTTTTTTGCAGTCTTTTCTGTGGTACCTTTCATTTGTCAGTATTTATATTTGAGAGTTTATTTTGAGCTAAATAGTTTCTAAATAAAATTGTTTTTTGAATTTCCAGAGTGCAAATTGGTTTTCACCTAATTTTACATTCATGTTCATTAAATGTCCCTCATTACAACAGTAAAGGTGACTAATGCATTCCGTCCACCCGTGGACATGTCACCAACTTCTTCAAAAATGTATGTTGAAAAAAAATGAAGGTGAAATATTTGTGATGCCTTAAGATGAATAAAAACGCCCTGGGTGAGACTCTTATAATTCATGCAGGAAAGGGTTAAATTGACAGAGAGCAGCTGGATGTTCTGTAGAGAACAAACACTAAAACACCAAGTGTGAGGATCGAGCAGTGGCTTTGAAAAAATGTACTCCTCGTATCCACCACTAGATGGTAGCAGAGACACATTTTCTTACTCTAGGTTCCCATGAACATCTGCCCATGAATAAAACCAGGTCCAGAACAGAACTCACTCTTCTTGCTGATCAACCTCTTCCTCTTCAGATCTGGAGTTTTGAAGTTGGCAGCAGCACAGTTACAGTCAGAGCTGGGTGTGAACGAGAACACGGGAGACGCCCCTCTGGCCATCAGGGCCTGCATGCCCGGGGCACGCAGACTGGCCATACCCTTACATTTATGGAGTCTCAGTTTGCCACTGGGGTCCTCCACGCACTGCCATTTCTGGAACAGGAACAGGAAATACATATAGTGTAAGTATGAGTATAACTATTAGCCAACCCAGAAAAAAACTACCATTAAAGCAAAACAATAAATAAGTATGAGTATAACTTTTAGCCAACCCAGATAGAAGTATAAATGATATGACTTATATAATATCTATGGATATTAACATAGATTTATTAGACAAATTAATGACAAAAATCAAAAACTACCATTAAAGCAAAACAATAAGGTAAAAAAGCCACATTATCTTTTCAAATTCCACAGTAAATGAAACTACATGAACTTCACTCCATAGTTCCACTCAAACTCAAATGCTGTGTTTTCCGAGGCGGCGGCCCGTCAGATACCTGTCCTGGCTGCTGGCACGACGTCTGGTACTCTACTTTCTGGCACAGATCCCTCATACGCTGATACTTAGGCAGGAAGTTTTCCTCCTGGGCCATTTCTTTCCCATCATCCCTCTTGTGCAGGGGCTTCCTGTAAAAAGAGGACAACACGTGATGTTTGTACACAGCACAGAGCCACAGGAAAACAATGCCTGGAACAAAAAAGGTCAATCAATAAACGTACCCTCTCTCCACGAGGAAAGAATCCCTCCACATTTTAGGCTTCCTGCTCATCTGGAATCTGGAAAATGAGAGAGCAGAGGGAAATCAAAACCACCGGCCTAAACTGCTGCGCTTGTCCATGGACAGGCTTTATGTCTGTGAAATATAGTACATTGAATTGACCCAAAAACAGCTAACGCTGCGACAAAAATAAACTATAACAGAAGCTGGATGAGGATCATCAAAAGTCACATTTGTTGTTTAGTAAAACAACCATAAAGGAAATCTACACCAGCAACAGAAATATATACAGTTCCCACTCAGCCTGCTGTCCTGACAAACAGACGTGTGTGTGTGTGTGTGTGTGTAGGAGTGAGGACATATTTGTGTCCAAAACATATTTGACTGAAGGTTGATCTGATCTGCTTTAGTTGAGTGAGTTCATGTGTGGTTGTGTTCACCTGTTCACTGGTTTGTCTGTGTCCAACAGTTTGAGGATGGACTTGCCGTCCATCTCTGCAGGGACGTCCACTCCTGCCATGTCCAGCAGGGTGGGCGCCACGTCGATATTCAGCACAATGTGAGGGTTACTGGAGAAGAAGAGCAACGAAAAGTCAAACCTAAAATAGACTGTTTTACACAAAAGACATAAATGTAAATTTATAAAGAAATCCTCATAACAATAAAAAAAATTAAACTTCTAAAATCCAAGCATAGGTAAAGAAAAAAAAGAGTGTTGTTACTCACACGGCACCATGCTCCACATTTGGCCCACGCACATAGAAGGGAACACGGATGTCAAACTCGTACGGCATTGACTTGCCCTTCACCAGACCAAACTGACCGATGTGGTAGCCGTGGTCCGAGGTGTAAATGATGTAGGTGTTGTCCAACTCCCCCGTCTCTAGCAACATGTTGTAAACCTGCAAAAAACAAACAAAAAAAACCCAACTTTCTTTTGTTTAAAAATAACTAAAATACAGCTGTTTATTTTTATTGGATTTTTACAAACTGTTTGTTTGTGTTGTTTGCACCTAAATCTTTCTTACCTTGTTGGTGCAGCCTAAATGAAAACATCCACATAAATCACTGAACCCCAGTTTGTACCCACAATGCAACATTTATTTTTTTACCTAAAGACGTAGATGGAGACTGAATCTCTGAACTCCAAACTTGGACTTTTACTGTAAGTTTTTTTTTTTTACCTGTAATCTAACCTTACCCCGACAAATGGGTTGTTTTCCAGACATATTTTCCATTAAATAAAGTGCAATAACTTACAGAGGAATGCTCAGACAGGGCATTAGCTTTGAAAGAGAGAAACAAGCAAACATATGCAGCTTCTCACCCTAATGGCTTGAACAGAATGAACGTGCACTTCCAAAACACACATGGGTTTATACTGATCAATACAAAAAGAAAACTTCTGCTGAAAAATGTTCTCCTTAATTGTTCGGCCAAATGTTTAGCATTTTACTGACAATTCTATCGTCTTCATCATCAATGTTTTTAAGGATGCTGCTCTTCGGTCTGACCAACCAGGACAGCTGTAAAAGCCGTGTAACTTATTGAGTATGTTAGTGATACGAAGCAGCAGCAGTACTGCGTATCTTCAGTTATGATGTGGGTTATCAGATCCAGAACACATCTCCAAGGAGCTGTGACTGTCAGAGGAGGTCCGAGCGTTCCTACCTTCTCTACACTGTCGTCCACAGACAGCAGAGTCTGCATCCTGCGCCGCTGCAGCATGTTGGTGAACTGCATGTGGACGGGCTTCATGGCTCCGGTGTATCGCAGGATCCAGTGTTTGTCTGAGTTTGGGGCGTAGTTGTAGCTTGGAGTTCTGAAGGAAGACACATGGACAGACAGACAATATAAAAGACGATATAATCCAGAAGGTGTCCATAACAAACCAAACCTTTTTTTCACATTTTGGTTTTTTTTTAGGTCATACAACATTACCTGCTACGTTTTGCAAATATTTAGCTTTTTTTTGCGCAAGAACACAGGGCTGGTTCTCAAAGGTGGTTTTGAATTGTGCTGTTTTGTTGCGTGTTCTGTACGTGTTTAACAACAAATGTAATTTTCTTCTTCCTCTTCTCCTTCTTGTCGCTGTTTTGTTGCGTGTTTAACAACAAATGTGATTTTCTTCTTCCTCTTCTCCTTCTTGTCAAATGTTGAGTCGTTCTCTGTAGTTGTTCAGCTTATATGAACCTTTTTTTCTAGCTCGGTTTCTAGCTAACTTAGTTAGCAACCGACAAAACATCAAGTGTTTTATCTGGTTATTTTACCTACTTTAACCTCGGTCCCCCTGTGTCAATTTTGCTGAATTTTCAAACTATCTTTCGGTCCCCCGTGTTAATTTTGCTGAATTTTCAAACTATCTTTTATCTTTTAGATATGTCCAGCTTTTCTATTTACACTATCTTTCTGCTACAGATGTAGTCCAGCTGCTTTAGGCTGAGCAGCCAATCACTGGGCAGGATCTATTGTGCAAAGTTGGATGGAGCTGAATAGGGTTTTTTTTTTGTAAGTTTTTAATTGTAATTTTATGATCTGTAGCCTGAAAAGTAGTTCCTAACTGATGGTTCAGCAAATGATGTAAAATGTGCAACTGTGCTATCCATTCTGGTGGCCACGGTGAGCACACGGTGATCAATACTCAGCCCTGACCCATGAGGATGCTTCATTATTTGAGAATAAACATGAGCTGTAAAACTAATGAGTTCAATAGAAAATGTATTTTTCATCTGAGGTGGATCAATTCTACTTCTGAAAAATGTTCCTGCTGCAGCAGCAGCAGCAGCTGTAGCAGCAGCAGCAGCAGCAGCAGCCAAGGTCCAAACAGAATAATTCACCAGGGCGACGCAGGAACTTAACTACAGAACTGCCTGCCTCTCTTTATACGACTGCTAATGGAAAAAAAAGAGGAAAATCGGTGTGTTCTGGAAACACACTGCCCAGGGGAGAGAAGAATGTTCGTAGGCAGAACAATATCCAGTTGCTACAGTCACAGTGAGGCTAATGTGGTCTGAATGAAGACTGTGTCTTATCCACAGGGATGAGACAAGGCAGACGCAGAAGACAAGTGGGCAGAATCTGCCGTCTCATTAGTGGCTTCTCATCTCCAGAGACCAACTGAAGGTCAGCCCTCAGCCGGCGGCGGTCGCAGGGACGTTAACGGAGCAACAAACATGAAATGCCACCCATTACCTGTGCATTATCAGTCATGCCCGTCCAATCACGTTGGACAAAACTGTTCAAATTAGCCGAGCTTGTTAGACAGAGACAACGCTAATGTGAACAACAACGAGCCAAACACAGCAGAGTAAAACGCTGCCTGTGGAGAAACAGAGGGTGGAGAACGTTCAGCTGCCAACTGCAGGCACGGGAAGATAAGATCGCTCTGTCAGAACACATGAAAGAAGCCATCAGTGTTCAATCGAACGCAATTAGCTGTGGATGATAAAACCTTCAAATTTAGTCTTCACTTGTTTGAACCTATTTTTTTTTTAATCAACCTGATTATTTTAAGAAGGCAGTCAGGGCCAAAGACTGGCTGAAACACGGAGGTAGCCAGCTGGCTGCAGCACTGACGCCTTGGTGGTGGACCAGAAACAGCTCTCCTGGTTCTGGAAGCAGTTGTGTCTCAGTGAAAGTCTGTTGAAACTAAATTTATAACATCAATAAACTTTCTCCTGGACGGTCTATAAAGGCGTGTCCAAGGTCTGGTTTAGGGCCCAGTCCTGGTACTTGGAAGGTTTTTTTTAATGTATTTCTTTTAAATCCCCAACACAGTTGTTTTCAAAGTGGGGGCTGCCAGGGGGCGCTAGTGTTTTTTTTGTAATATAATTTAATTTTATAACCATTTGTCCTGGCAGTTTGCACCTGTAATCAAGCTGCTCTGCTCCTCAAGCTAGTGTGTAGCTAGCTAGCTAGCACATGTTTGTTAATAATTTTCTTATGCTAAATAAATGTAATAATTTTTGAATAATGAATAAAAGTAAGAAAATACAGGACACCTCCCTGCCATGCACCAAGTCCTGTCCCATGTTGGATTGCCCCAGGAGGGGCAGGTTTGACTTCACTATTTTTAGCTAACTTAATGTTGTAAGAACTAATTCTATGACAAATAAAAGTGTTGCTAAAATTTACTAAATTAAACTTTTTATTTCTCTTTTGGTAATCTCTATTTGCCTTTTAACGTCACTGATGATGACGATGATGATGACGATGATGATTTTATCGCCCCCCTTTGGCAAGCTGATACATTCCTAAGGACATGACAGGTGTGGTGATTAATTACATGTGCTGCGATGCGTTTGGAAAGGCGGAGCTGTAGTGGGGGGCAGAATCTTCTGGACCGTGAGGAGCGACATGGCTGAGGACCATCATGATGGGCCGGTGAGGGTACATCTTCTTGGACATGTAGAAGTAGTTGATGCTTTCGTTGGTGATGAGGTCAGTCAGGTAGTCCTGTAGGGGAAACAGGAAACTTGATGAATGAATATCCCACAGTGATATGATGGTCAGTGCTCCTGACCTACAGCAGGAGGATCACAGTATCTGTGTGACCCTGTTGATGAACAACTTTATACCTTGGAGTAATTGCTGCCGTGTTTTTCTCGTACACCGTTCCTGCAGAGGGTGTAGTTGTAGAAGCGAGAGTTCTTCACCAGGGCCACCCATTCTTTCCAGCCCGGTGGCACGTAGGAACCGTTGTACTCATTCAGATATTTCCCAAAGAAGGCTGAAGGAAAAACAGAATCCTTAAAATCATCCTCATCCTCTTTGAAAGTCTGTACAACTTCAAATTCTGCAGCAGCATGAATTCATCACCTGTTCTGTAGCCGGAGTTGTTGAGGTGCACAGCAAAGGTGTGTGGCTCGTGATGGGCCTGCCACGACGGCGAGGAGCAGTTCTCGTTGTTGGTGTAGGTGTGGTGGTTATGCACATACTTCCCCGTCAGGATGGAGGAGCGGGACGGGCAGCACATGGGCGTGGTGGAGAAGGCATTGGAGAAATGAGTTCCACCTTTCTCCATGATGTGCCGGGTTTTGTTCATGGCCTGCATTGAGCCTGTAGGACAAAAAGAAAACAGTACATCACTCATATGTTTATTTAGTGAATTAAAAGGTGGGGATGAAATGATGATCTCCCTGGTCACTATTGTCAAGTGAAAAAACACAACAGCAAAAACAAAAGAAGTGAACTAAAAAAAACAATTCAAATAAAAGATAAAAATCTCTAAAATGACTAAGAGATACTGCATGTCTGAAGAACTTTGACTTCCTGCCAAGACAGTAGCATTAAAAAGTCCAGTCTGCAAAGTGTCAAAAATGTCAGTTAGCGCAGCCCTGCACAGGAGACAGTGTGTTTGAAAACATCTGTTCTCCAGACACCAGTCTGTAACAACCAGAACAGAAACGTCAATTTAATATAACAGAAATGGAGGCCTTTCATTAAAGACCAACCACTGAACTGTGCAGGCTTCAATCTCAGGGCAGACGCCCAGCTGGTATCACTGTACCAGCCTCACCTGGTACAGTCTAGGATGATGACTGCAGACTATCACGTGACACACTAATGACTAAAATCCATAATCTCTATAAAGATAAACAAGTTTATCTATCTGTATATGTTACCACTGTGTTAGCATTGGTGGCTAACATCTGGACCAATCCTGACATATATTTAATTGTCCAAAAAAAAAAGAATCTAGGCAAAATATATTTGGAAAAGAATCAAAAATAATAATAATAATAATAATAAAGGGAAATTGAATATACAGTAGGAAATGATTTTCCAACAAAGAAAATCATTTTAAAAGAATCAATAATAATAATAATATTAAAGGGAAATTGAATATACAGGAAATGATTTTCCAACAAAGAAAATCAAATCAAATTAGGAGCAGGTCTCGTGTGAATTGAAAGGTCGTCAAGCCAGTGGTCGTTTCTCTGAGGAAACAGATGGTTGACCATAAATCCTTGCTTTTCAATGGGCGTCCTCTCAAAAGACAACAAAGGATGTCACCAAAGTCATTATGCAGCCACTTCAGTCCAACACCACACTGAAAGACTTACGCGGCTCAGCAGATTGCCAACATTTGGCAACCTGACAACGGAACCAATGGGTTTGCCCTCAGTTAGTGCCAGCGACGGAGGAACTGGGAGGAGAAGTGCATGACACTGAGAAGGCCAGTTGGCCTGGTGCCAGGAGGTGGCATCGGGCGGAATATTTATTAAAGTAGAGGGTATTCCCACTTAGTTAGTTAGACAGTTACCGTAGTTACCCTGGTCTGTCCTTGTTATCTTTTAGTGATCTTTTGGCCAACTTGGTCAATCTGGTTTAAACGTAACTGTGACGATCGTAACAAGCTTTAAGTTACCTTTGGATTAATGTATATTCTAACACATTTTGTAGCTTATTTTATGCAAATCTTGTATGTTTCTGGCTCTTTTTTGGCCTACCTCATTTATCAGTTACCTTTTTTTTTTTTTTTTTACTTTTTATTGGCCAGATTTTTTAGTAATAAGTTCAGTTGTTTTAATTATTTATTTTGAATATATTTTCAATTAATAATTTATTTGTTGGCTATAAATAAAATTAAAAAATATTAATAAAATAAATACAAATAAAATACAAATAAAATAAACTTTGTTTGTGGATTCTATCTATTTTACGGTTTTATTTTTGTCACCTGCGTATATTTTGGCTTTATTTTTAGTTGTCTAATTTTCACAAAACAAAAGAAAATAATCTATTATTTTCTCAGTGGAATTGTTAACAACAACAACATATTAATAACAGCTACCGTAATATTTTTTACTGAGTATATCCTTTTATTTGAAGAGAATGTGTCATTATATTAATTATTATCCTGTTTAACCTAAACCCCACTCAGTTAACACGCTACACAAACACGGCAGAGAGAGAAACACGTTTCACCTAATTCTATGTCCTGATCATCTGTAAGGATCAGGATGATGTTGGGTCTGATGTTGCGAACGTGGCGGTCCCTCTGCAGACGAGACCGCAGGCGATAGCCAGACAGGTAGCCAGAGCCCTGGGCCACAGGAAGCACCTCCACCAGGAGGAGGAGGAGCAGGGTGAGAGGGAGGGAGGCGGAAAACGTCCGCCCTGCCATTACAGCGACCTGCAGTCACCTTCTTCAGGATCTCAGCCCGCCCTAAACAACAGAAACAAAAGAAAGTGATTGATTAACTATATATATATATATATATATATATATATATATACATATATATATATATATATATTTATAAATATATATTTACAATCGCATAGCCTTATGTTGTTAGATGCTGTTATATGCCGATGATGTTTAAAAAAAACCCCAAAACAATTCTATTAACAAAGTATTATAACAGACGGTTTCAAAACTAGTTTCTCAGTTCTGAAGTTGTTTTTTCCCCCGTTCTAAATTACCTTTTGGCATTTTTTGGGTTATACACCTCCTGAGTCTTGTTTACCCTTCTGCCCATCTGTGCTTTCTCCCCGTGAGTACTCGCTCATCCTCATAATGTATTCCACCGATGCCTTGTAAAGTCTAATGCCCCTCATGTGAACATAACCCCTACCTCCTGTGCCAGTGTGGAAAACAGTTCAGTCTTCTGTTTGTGTTTCTGTGTGGATTTCTGCTGAAGTCACTACCAACCTTAACAGTTCAACGAAATCTGCTCCATTAAAGTTGACTTTTAAATCCAAATCTAGCTTTGGTACAAATGGTAGAACGCAAAACCTCCAGTGGAAAGTGCGAAAGTTTTAGCGATACAGATAGTTACACCAAAATATATTACAATATGTACAAACTTTCTTTTTGTATTCTAAAAAACATTTACTGTAAGTATTGGGGGAAAAATGAAGGAAGGAAGGAAAATGAAGAGTTCCTGGATAACTGTGATGCTTCTGTCTTTGAGCTTTGAAAGATCTATATTTTTACTACTATCTTAACTACTGGCTCTGTGTAGAAGCACATAAATAGAAAAGACAGGAGAAGCCCAGCAGGCTGGCACAGCTTCTGATGAACACAGCATTACTTTATTCTGTGAACCATTAAAAAATGTTATGATTAACTGAATCCATTTCCTGCGTACACAGACCGGTGTGACGGGCTTCTTCACAGGGTCAAACATGACCTCAGACTATTTTGGGTGAGCTCAGCTCGTTAATCAATCATTAATGATGCATTAGTATGGTGTCATTGACTAACTCTAATGATCTCTGCTGGTGACTCCGTGGCTGCGAGGCTGGGGCTAATGGGCCTGAGCCGGGAGCTGTCTCAGGCCTTACCTCCCCCTGAGAGGGGGTTTAGGGCGGTGGTTGGAGTCCAGGGGAGAAGGACAATAGGAGATAAAAAAACAAGGAGTGAAAAACTACCAAGAAATGACAGGAATGAAGAGAGGTTCATCACAGAAAAGATGTGCAGATGAGTGACGGCAATGACCCACATTAGAGCAAAAATATATGTAAATATGAGTTATATTACAGTTTTACAAAGCTGCTCTCTGAACTAGAAACGTCTTTATGTAGCTTCACAAAAGGTTGAAGAGTTCTGTAAGACAACTGGACATGACATTTTCAAAATGTTAAATGAGAGGAGAAACGTCTTCTTGAGAAGACTTCATGTCCAGTTGCCTAAAAGAACGTTGACCTGCCTCGACCGTGACCTGAACGACTGAGAATCTTCACAGACGTCTTCACTAAAGCCAGCGTTTAGACTTGTGTTTAGGGATAGGTTTACACAGAAAGCTAATCTACCTTTTATTGAAAAGAATTACTGTAATTATTCGCTTTTGGGACACTGAAACATTTCAGTTAAAGGCTGCAGCACTGGAAATATAGGAAACTGGACAGAAATAAATTATTACTACATTTCCCTGAAATGAAGCTTAAATTTCCAAAGCCAAGAATTTCTCAAAGATACCTTACAACACAGCGTCAGGTTGGGGGGGGAGGCCGGCACCGTGGCAACAATCACTGATGGTAATATGCTGGGCACTAATGTCTCAGTGCTGCAGATAGTAAGTCTTGATAGTAAGGTGATAGTGGTAGGCAGTAACGCAGCTGGCAGTGCCAGTAATGCCCTGGTAGTCTGGCAGCGGCTGTAATGCCCCACTTTACCCCCAAGAAATTCCAGTGGACAAGAAGACTTTAGATGCATTAGCCGGCTCTGGGCTATGATTTTGACAAAAGTGCATGTCTTTTAATATGGCTGCCTAATTAGATATTGTCTGGTACCAAACTGAAGGTAAAAACGCAGCTCCTTTGGTCATAAAACGTAGAAACAGAAGAGCGGCTAGTTCACCTAAAGGCGCTAAAACACACCGACCAACTCACGGTAAACTCAAGAACAAACCTAACATTAAAGGAGGAGGGGTGAGGGGGAGACAGTTCCCCTCCATTTTCCATCTTAATGCTCTCTGCACGGGCGCCGCTGCCTAACAAAGAAACACTTCCCTCAAACTCTCTTCAAACGTCGTGCTGTCATCAGATTTATGGCTGCATCACTCCAGGTGCAGCCAGGAGAGCTCCAGACAATGCAGCACGGCCTGTACGTGTGTGTGTGAGTGTGTGAGTGTGTGTGTGTGTGAGAGAGACTGAGTACGGCTGTGGTATGGGCTGACTGACAGAGACCAGAGATGGTGGAATAATGTTTATTATTAGTACTTTTATTTGTTTTCTTAACGGTCGACCCAGACTGAGGAGGGCTGCCACACACTGGGTTCCATTTCTGCTACATGTTAATAATAATTTTGAAGGTGAGGGTTTACGTACTGGATGATATAAGAAGAGATATTTGAAAAAAAGAAAATGCAGCTGAGATATGATCGGGGGCCAAGGGTCACCAGAGGTCGGACTAGTTCCGTGCGATGCCTTGAAGTGAGACTAAGTTCTGCAGTTCAGTCATTCACTTGTAAAATATGCTAAAAGAGGGAGCAGCTCAGCAGCACTAGATAAAAACTTAATGCCATTCATTCTTTATTCATAAGAATAAATTATAAATGCGCTCACGTCAGATGTAAGTATATCACAGCACGGACGGCAGAGTGAGAAGGTAACAGATTTAGAGGAATATAAACACTCACACTGTCAGACACCACACGGCAGAAAAGAGGGATGAAGCCACGGGCAGAGGCGTTACAGACCTCACAAGGACTTCACGAGGTTCACAATGACCATGGTCCTTCAATATATATATATATATATATATATATATATATATATATATACATATATACACACATATATTTGGATTTAGTTTCAAGAACTTCAGTGTCGACTAAATAGCTCCTAACATTTTATAAAGAAAAGAAAATTTCATCAGGCTCAGACAGTTACTGAATGGAAAGAGAAAATTAATATAGATCACAGATTCATATTAATTATTTTGTGGTCAAATTAAACGCATTAACACACACAATGGCAGAATGATGTGTGCTGTATATCCAGTAATTCCAGTCCATCCACTGATCATACCAGGTCGCGCTAATACACTGTCAATCAACACATTGTTAATTCAGCACACTGCAGGAAAGACTCTACGACTGACACAAATGTCAGAGGACTGACAGCGGCTGTGACTCCGTGTCACTGTCTTCACCTGGCAGCTTCCTGTGCTGCAGAACCACAGGACCGGATCCAGGACTGACACTGATCTCATTATTCATATTACTCATGACTAATAGAATCTAACTCAGGAGAACTACTTTTACACCTAACACCACTGATAAAGTACAAGCCCACAGTTTCCACTCTCTCTCTCTCTCTCTCTCTCTCTCTCTCTCTGTGCCATGGCAGACAGTAACTCCGGCTCTGAAACTGCTGGAAATTTCGTTCACACGCAAACGTAATCCACAAGACGAGCATTTCATTCTTTGGAGGAAACGCTGACATTGATGTTTGAGACCATGGGATTGTTGTACAGGGGCGCCGCTAGGGATCCTGGGATTTCTAACATATAAAAATGTTTTAATGCTATTTTATATAAAACTATGCATTTGCATGATGGTGTTTTTGACCATGATTCCCATATTTGTTAAAAAAAAAAACCCAACATTTCAGTTGACAGGTAGGGGGAGCACCGAGCACTCTGGGCCCCTAGAGCACTTTACAAACCAGCCTGTTTAATACAAATTCCGTGGCTAGCAGGAAACAGAAGAGGTTCAGCTGACTAAGGAACAGTAATCCAAACACCAATCACTGACCTGGATCCTGTCTATTTAAAGACGATGATTTCCCAGTGGTGGGAAATCGTCGACTTTAAATAGACATTCCAGAAACTGCTGCTGCAAATTTTTGCCACCACCACATCTGCTTCCACATTCCAGGACCCTAGCTTTCACTTTCACGTTTTTTTGGTTCACTCTTGTTCAGGGATTCAGCCTGTACTTGTCGAACCAGGAAGAAAATCACAAATTTCTAGCGACCCCAGAGAGACGTGATCTCAGCCGTCAATCAAGATGCGCCAGATATTTCCATATGTTGTTTACGATTGGGTGTGTTGTTTTGAATCAGATTTTTAGAAAGAATAATAAGTTGAAAACATGTTTATCTGTAATTCTTTAATCAATTTCTAGACATTTTGGTCAAGCCCAAGATCGAAAAACACCGGGTTATACATCAGAGAAAGACCGCGAGTGAAATCAAAACTGATGGAAAATGTGAGGCGTCCAAAGAAATCCATGAATAAATAAATCACTAAGTAATTCTGCTCTGCTCTGCTCTCCACTTTGATCCTCTGCCTTAAACATTAGAAGAGACAGCACAAAGGAAGTGTCCAGAAACGCTTCAACAGAAACATCCCGTTCTCTCTATATGTGACACTGTCCAGCCAACGCCATTGGTCACAAAGAAAACTGGCAGAGATTTGCCAATGTGTGACTTTGTTCCCACTGGCCTGTCTCACTCTGAAAAGAGTGAGCAAAGATCTCCAAGGACCTTTGAGTATTCCAAACAAGAGTTTGTATTCAGATGCAAATCCTACAACGACATGCATCTATGTGAGAGTAACTTTCCTTTTCGAGGACTGATGTGTGTGTGCGACTGGATGAGTGTGTCAGTGCGAGGAGTTTGCAACGCTTTAAACTGTATGGAATGTCTTTGTCGTGATAATAGGAAGCCGTCACTCTCACCTCGGAAACCTCTCTGACAGACACGGGTCAGGGG